CCCCGTACTTGGCCGCATTCATCTTTCTCTCGATTGCAAGCAGTCGTTCTGTCCCTGCAGCTGAAAAACACCCCCACAGCATGATTCTCTACTACCATGCTTCACTGTTGGAACTGCATTAGACAAGGAATGAGCAGTGTCTGGTCTTCTCCACGCATACCGCTTAGAGTTAAGGCCAAAAAGTTCTATCTTGGCCTCATCATACTAGGAGAATTTCACCACCTTGGAGTCCTTCAGGTGTTTTTCAGCAAACTCCACTGAGGAGAGGCTTCCATCGGGCCACTCTGCCATAAAGCCCTGACTGGAGGAGGTCTGCAGTGTCGGTTGACTTTCTACGACTTTCTCCCATCTCCTGACTGCATCTCTGGAGCTCAGCCACAGTGATCTTTGGGTTCTTCTTTACCTCTCTCACCAAGGCTCTTCACCTCTGATGCCTTAATTGGGCCAGACTGCACGCTCTAGAAAGAGTTCTGGTCGTCCCAAACGTCTTCCATTTAAGGATTATAGAGGTCACTGTGCTCTTAGAAACCTGAAGTGCAGCAGAATGTTTTTGTAAGCATGGCCAGACCTGTGCCTTGCCACAATTCAGTCTCTAAGCTCTTAAGGCAGTTCCTTTGACCTCATGATTGTGTAAGGAATCATCAGTGAGCTGTAAGGTCTTATTTTAGGTGTGTCCCAAATCACACACTTATGCACTATTCTACACCATTTTGTAGTATAATTATTGTAAGTAGTGCGTTCACACTGAAAACTCTAGAAATAATGGTCCCACTTTATATTAAGTGTCCTTAACTACTATGTACTTACATCAAAAAAATAAATACAATGTACTTACTGTGTTTATAATGTATTTGAGAACACTTGTGGTGCTTTTGAGTTGGGATAGAGGTTGGGTTATGGACAGGTTTGGTGGCATGGGTAGGTTTAAGGGTGGGTTAAGATGTGGGGATGGTCAACAGTGTATTTACAAATGTAATTACAAAAGTTAATTACAGATGTAATTACATACATGTATTTAATCAAGCATAAGTACACAGTAAATACACGTATTTACACAATTAGTACATTGTAACAAACTATTAATTCCTGTGTAAGTACATATTAAATAAGGCCACTTAATATAAAGTGGGACCGAAATAATAAGTGCACATTAATTACCCAGATGATGCACTTATTCAAGAAAAGCACTCATGCACTCAAAGAAAGCAGCTTTGCTCATGTAGCGGAAGGGGAGGAGCTTTCGGGTGCACATGTTGGAGTAAATTAATTATTTTGGATTGTGAAAGCAAAATTCTCCAACGAAAGGGACTATACCGCCTCCTGATGGTAAATGCAGATATACTCAAGGCAAGTATTATTTGGTAGTTTGGTCATTTATTTCACTAATTTGACAACAAGCAAACATCATCAGGGAAATGGTTTGTATTTCGGCTTAGTACAAAAACTTTAGTGCTCCCTTTGGGACGACACTAAATACATGTAATGTAATGTGTATTTATATAGCGCATTTATTGTGTACGGCCATACACCCAGACCGCTTCACAATCATGAGGGGGGGTCTCTTCACACCACCACCAGTGTGCAGCATCCACTTGGATGATGCGACGGCAGCCACAGGACAACGGCGCCAGTGCGCTCACCACACACCAGCTATTGGTGGAGTGGAGAGACAGTGATAGAGCCAATTCAGTGGAAGGGGATGATTGGGAGGCCATGATCGTATGGGCCGATAGAGGGACTTTGGCCAGGACACCGTGGTTACACCCCTGCTCTTTTACGAGAAGTGCCATGGGATTTTTAATGACCACAGAGAGTCAGGACCTCGGTTTAGAGTCTCATCCGAAAGACAGCGCCCACTGACAGTGTAGTGTCCCCTGTACTTTTACTGGGGCATTAGGACTCACATAGACCTCAGGTTGAGCGCCCCCTGCTGGCCACACTAACACCACTTCCAACAGCAACCTAGTGTTCCCTAGTGGTCTCCCATCCAGGTACTGACCAGGCTCAGCCCTGCTTAGCTTTAGTGAGTAACCGGTCTTGGGCTGCAGGGTGATATGGCTGTGGCGCAGGGTGATATGGCTGTGGCATATATATATATATATATATATATATATATATATATATATATATATATATATATATATATATATAGTATATACATATACTATACTGTATAATATAGTATATTATATTACACTATGCCATTATATAACTATAATAGCATAGTGTGCCATTTGGGACTTGTGTGTTATAGACAGGTGTGTGGCTTTCCTAATCAACTCCACACAGTATAATTAAACACAGCGGGACTTAAATGAAGGTATTGACCTTATTCTAAAATGCGGAAGTGCGCCTGTTTTCGCGATTGTCTTAGAACTTCCGTTTCAGTCGCCTATGGGAGAAATGACTAGGAATAATAAACGGCAAAAAATGGGCAAACTACTTGCTCTACAAACAAATGTTTGCATGACTATACAGACCAAGTAGAATAATACAACAAGGAAATATCAGTTTGCAACATCAAACAGCGAAACGAGCAGTTTTTAATGTCTAAAAATGAATGGAAGTGACTGAGACCGGAAGTCTCGTGCCAAAAAGATTCAAATGGCAGCGCCCGCTCGTCTGCGGAGAATAAGGTCAATAGAGCCATCTCCAGGATGATCAGTACTAATGGACAACACCTGATTTAAATATATGAGTGTCACAGTAGAGGGTCTGAATACTCAGGACCATGTGATATTTTAGTGTTTATTTTTTAATAAATCTGTAAAAGACGTCAACAATTCAGTGTTTTTCTGTCACTATGAGGTGCTGTGTGTACATTAATAAGAAAAAAAATGATGCATTTAAATGATTTTAGCTAGTGGTGTAACTGATCACAAATCTCATGGTTCAGATCACATCATTATTTATTATTAGGACCCTTTTTCAGATCAGCCAAAAAGGAGGAGGAGTCAATTGTTATTTGCTTTCCATTTATTCCATTTATTACATTATCTGCTCTCACTTCTGCAGATCTATGTGCCCTCCAGAAACTTGTGTTCTGTCAATGAACGTCGCCTCGTGGTTCCATCCCAAAGAGGGAAGAAATCACTTTCGCGAACGCTCACGCTCAATCTGCCCAGTTGGTGGAATGAACTCCCTAACTGCATCAGAACAGCAGAGTCACTCGCTACTTTCAAGAAACGACTAAAAACTCAACTATTTAGTCACCACTTCCCTTCCTAATCTGCAATTGCATCTCTGGATATACCACTAACTAAACCCCCCTGAAAAAAAAAAAATTAACTAATACTTTCCTTCTTAGACTTTACAGACCTGAAACTTGCCTATAGCACTTATTCATTGTTGCTCTTATAGTTGTGTAAATTGCTTCCTTGTCCTCATTTGTAAGTTGCTTTGGATAAAAGCGTCTGCTAAATGACTAAATGTAATCAAACACTTTGGGTTTCAACAGAACAGAACTTAGAATCTGTAATTATATTAATAATAAAATGACGGATTTACTCTCTAACAGACTTTTTCTGTGCTGTTGAAGATTACAGACACAGATGAGAGGTTAGACTGTGGGCTATATGTTGTGTGTTGTTTTTGAACCTAAATAAGGACTAAATGTATGCTGTGTGTAGTTTTTCTGTAATTGGCAGGGCCAGACGGAATCTGCGGACGTTTTTTGCTATTTCTGCGGAGAATTTTGGTAAAAATCTTCGGATTTCTGCGGAATTATTTTGGGAGTATCCAGCGGAGTATCATAACTTACACTTTAATATATCAAATAAAAAGTAATAAATTACTGAATAAAAACTTAATAAATTCAGATTTACACATTTACTCGAGTAAATAAACAGAATTTATAATGGGCTAAAAATCTGCAGAAATCTGCGGAATTCTGCGCGCGCAGATTCCGTGTGGGTCTAGTAATTGGTAACATATCGGAGACTGTAAGGTGCCGTTTGTGTTCATAAAGTGCATTTATAGATTTATTTGATTTAATTGCAGACGTTACAGTAGGCTATTTCACACTGATCTGCAGTTATAATCAAATCCTGTTCATAGAAAGGTTAGTAATGAACATTTATAAACAAGTATTTATGCGTTTAAAGCATCTGTTTTGTGAGAAGTGCTTCTCATATGATATGTGAGCGACCTGTACAGCTTTACTGTAGACATTTATACGAACGAGAATGATGTCGACTGAAACTCTCTGTCGTACACCACGCCCACCAAAAGGGTACACTTGGTAGTGGAAACGCAAGCCTGATAAAGGTGACTCGTACTGTACCAGTCAGTGGAAACAGGTCATAAACGAGTGTAAAATAGGATAGGATAGACTGGAATGGAATGGAATAAAATAAAATAGAATGTACTGGACTGCATTAGACTAGACTAGACTGGACTGGACTGGAGTGGAATAAAATGGAATAGAATAGAACAGGACAGAATAAAAAACACACTGTACCCACTGTATATAAATGAGTGTATAAAAGGATAGGCTAGACTGTAATAGAATAGAATGGAGTGGAATAGAAAATGACTTGACAACTAACCTATGGTGTGGAAAATGACTTATATAAATGTGTATTATAGAATAGAATAGAACAGTTTAAAACAGAATCAAAAATGAACGAACAAAATAGAGTATAATAGAACAGTAAATGACTTGACTATAATTACATAAATAAGTGTATAATATAATACAATAAATATATTATAATAAAAAAATAATATAATATAAAAAATAAAATATAAAAATATAATATATAATATAATATAACAGAATATAAAAAATTTAATATATAAAAATAAAAATTAAATATAATATAATAAAAAAATTAAATATATAATATAATATAATATTATATAATATAAAAATTAAATATATAATATAATATATTATAATATAATATAATATAATATAATATAAATTAATAGAATAGAATAGAATAGAATAGAATAGAATAGAATAGAATAGAATAGAATAGAATAGAACAGTTAATGACCTGTGCATGTGGAGCAGGAGATGTGGCAGGGGCTGCACTTCATTTCCTCAAGGTTAAAGAAAGTTCCATTGGCACATTCCGGAACGCATGTCATTCCTGCCAGACTTTAATCATGGGAAAAAAAAGAGAAGACAAAGAAAAGATTAAACCCATCTAACAATTCACTGCCATCCTTCAACAGACTCACACCATGGAAACCAAAAAACAGCAGCAAAACTATTTGCACATTAACATATTACTGCCCTCATTTACATCAAACATAGTTTTTATGCAAAATAAGGCCACTTTTAAACCCAAATACACAATTGTAGTACATTTATTTATAGCAATATTATTATTATTATTATTATTATTATTATTATTATAAGAGTGAACTTTCTATTTTTCAATTCATTTTAATTCATCTTTATTTCTATAGCGCTTTTACAATGTAGATTTTGTCTAAGCAGCTTAACATAGAAGTTCTAATAAATTAAAAGTGTCAGTGCATTTTTCGGTGTTAAAGCTCAGTTTAGTTCAGTTCAGTGTGGTTTAATTTTCACTGCTGAAAGTCCAAACATTGAAGAGCAAACAGGACTTAAAGAAATAGAAAAGGTCAAAACAGAATCAAAAAGGACTGTATTATGTACTACAGATCGTACTTCTGTACTGAATATTTCACAGTACAGAAACATTAAAATATGTATGATAGTGTATTTATAACTTTATGCATTACTTTAGCAAACCCTTAAAAGAATACATATAGATTAAAACTTTTATTTAAAGAAAAAAGCATACAAAATAAATGAATTCTTTATTTGTTAATATTTTATTAAAGAATAATCAACATACAAGGAGTCATAATTGAAACTACTACTACACGTAAATGAATAACAACAACAATAATAATAGTGCGTCACGGTAGAGAAGTGGGTAGCACAATCGCCTCACAGTTTAAGAGATTAATAAATGGACTAAGCAGAAAAGAAAATGAATGAATGAATGAATGAATGAATAGTAATAATAATCAACAGTAATTACTAACTATACACAAAGTTTAACACTTAGAAAATAATAATAATAACCATAATAATAATAATGATTATTATTTTTGTTATTTTTATGATAAACTATAATTACTAACTACAAACAAAAAAAGCATTAACAAATACAATATTAATACTAATAACAATAATAAAATGATGATATAAAATAATTATGATAAATGATAATTGCTAACTATACACATGGTATTACAAATATAAAATAATAATAATAATAATAATAATAATAATAATAGTAAACTATAATTACCATCTATAGACAGAATACTACAAATATCTAATTTACATATTGTTGTTATGATTAAATAATTATTACTATACACAGAAATGATAAGAAATAAAATTCTAAAATAAATAATATAATATAAACAAAATATAAATAAATATAAACCAAATATAACAAATTTATAATAATAATAACAATAATAATGATAATAATAATTATTATTATTATTATGGGGCGAGGCAGTGGCGCAGTAGGTAGTGCTGTCGCCTCACAGCAAGAAGGTCGCTGGTTCGAACTTGGGCTCAGTTGGTGTTTCTGTGTGGAGTTTGCATGTTCTCCCTGCCCTCGCGTGGGTTTCCTCCAGAAACTAATCATAGTTTTAATAACTCATTTCTGATAACTGATTTATTTTATCTTTGCCATGATGACAGTAAATAATATTTGACTAGATATTTTTCAAGACACTTCTATACAGCTTAAAGTGACATTTAAAGGCTTCACTAGGTTAATTAGGTTAACTAGGCAGGTTAGGGTAATTAGGCAAGTTATTGTATAGTGATGGTTTGTTCTGTAGACTACACTAAAAAAAATGTTGTCAGAAAAATGGTCGCAAACAATTTATTTGTGTTGAATTTAAGCAAACAAATTAAATTTAGTAATGCTTAACTTAATTTGTTTGTTTAAATCCAGCGCAAACAAATTGTTTACAACCACTTAACTTAAAATATTTTAGTAAATTCAAGGAATCATCTTTAATGTTTTTTTCAGTGTATAAACAACTATAGTTTAAAGCGGCTAATAATTATGTCCTTAAAATGGTGTTTTTTTCTAGCCAAAATAAAGCAAATAAGACTTTCTCCAGAAGAAAAAACATGATCAGACATACTGTGAAAATGTCCTGAATCTGTTTAACATCATTTGGGAAACAATTAAAAAAGAAAAAAAATCCATAAGGGGCTAATAATTCTGACTTCAACTGTATATGCACAAATATAATATCGTATAGCTTCCTTAGGTCCATTGACACATCTCTAGCTCTTAAAGCTGCAGCTCCGCTCACTCTACGCTCACACCACTCGAAATGTGGCACAAACAAAACAAACACAACGTCAAAATCAATTACATCTTCAAACAAATCAGAGTTCACCACTGAAACTGAACCCTTAATGAGTGTGTGAGGGGAAAAAAACAACAACAACTCCACAATCTTCTTCACGGTGGGTTGATTTAGTCTCGGCTCAAAGCTCTGTTTTGTTTCGGACGCGGTGCATTGTGGGTCAGCGGTTGAGAATGAGAAGCGTTTCAATAATCGGCCGAGCAAGTGTGACGCGGGGAATGTGAATCTGAAAGACTCCAGGCGTTCGCTCTCTATCTGCAGCTCAGAGAAACGCTGCGCATCACGATATATAACCCTGACAGATTAAACCGAGAGGTCAACACGTAAAGCATGCGGCGTTTTAGCCTTCACAGGACCAGACGGCCTTTCAAGAACTAAAGCTCAGTCTGTCTCGTCTAAACCACAGCAAAGGCTGCATGCATAAAGATGACCAGATGTACCCTAGATGTCCTGAAACACACAAAACCCCAAAAAGCCTGGCTTCTTAGGCCATTTCATCTGCACCGCCGGCTTGTGAGAACTCACAATATACAGTTGAAGTCAAAATTATCAGGCCTCAATATTCTTCAAATATTTCCCAAATGATGTTTAACAGAGCGAGGAATTTTCCACAGTGTTTCCTATAACAGGGTTGAGAGTAGGGTTGTAACAATATACCGGTATGACGGTCTACCACGGTTTGAACGTGCACGATTATCATACCATGAACAATTGCATATCAACGGTTTTAACCCGAGACAGCCGCCCGCGGCTAAAAATAAGTATTGCTCTTAAATGTTTAATAACTTTTGATCCGCTGATCCGATTCATACAATTCAAAGATTGGCGTAAAGAAGAGAATCTCAGCTTTCCAGTGCTGTATCACATAACATTCGCGGACTTTCAGAGGCTCCGGAATCAGTGCGGTTACGTCATCAAAATTTGACAACGCTGATTTGACAAAGAAACGCTCGTCACTGTGTCTCCGGACAAACCAGACATGATACATTCATGCATTGTCCCTCCTCCATGCCCAGATTGGTTCAAACTCGCTATATCACAACCAATAAGCATAGGTTTCACTTTTGTTTGTGGACCAACACTGAGCTTTTTGAACAACACGGAATGAGAGATAGGCATACATTTATGCGCGGCTAAATAAAACGCAAAAAAAAAAAAAAGTTTTGCCTGAAATAATTCTCATACTAAGTACTTTTGCATGCACAGCAGCACAGAAACATGACAAAACAGTGACACAGCAAAGACGAACTGCTGCTCTTGCTGTTTTCAAAAGACACAAATGAAGGTGCAGCCACAACCACATCCAAATCCATATCCACAGACAACCATATCCATGCTGGCACATAAAACCTAAGGATGTTCCATATTGAATCTAGTTTCGTTATGTAACTATTTATAGTATAGTAAATATTTATATCTATTTTTTACTGAGGATTTGCACCATGTTTATTTGGACTTTGACACATTATTTATTATTTTCTTATTTTTTTATTTGTTCATTGTACAAGTGGACACATTCTCTCACCTCAGCGGTCAAGATTAAGTCCTGAAAATCTCAACATGCTTACATTTCTTCATCACAACCTAGACTGAAAAAAACAACGCTTTAAATACATGTTTACAGCCATAAACTTGGTATTGCACTTTTGGTCTCCCATTTATCCTGCTTATAAGGAAGGACAGTTTAAGTTTATTTTTGTCTAATCTTAAAAGACCTTGCTTGTTTATTCCTTCTAATTTAATTTATTACAATGGGAGATTTTTCAGTTTATTTTTATAAAAGACTTCTATAGTTCTATTAAAATGGTTCTTTCAAAAGTTTGTTGAAATAAAACCTTTGTTCAGTCAGAAAACGTGTTCTTATTCTTTTCAGGGTCTTTGCTATGAGAATTACTATTTAATACCGTATACCGCGAAACCGTCAAACCGTGGTATTGTTTTAGACGATTATCATACTGTAAAAAATTCATACCGTTTTTCAGACCACTATGAGTGAATTGGGGGCGGCACGGTTGCTCAGTGGTTAGCACTCACAGCAAGAAGGTTGCTGGTTAGAGTCCCTGGGTCAGTTGGCATTTCTGTGTGGAGTTTGCATGTTCTCCCCGTGATGGGTTTCCTCCGGGTGCTCCGGTTTCCCCCACAGTTCTAAACACAAGCGCTATAGGTGAATTAGATTAACTAAATTGGTCGTAGTGTATGTGTGTGTTTAAATATATGAGAGTGCATGGATGTTTCCCAGTACTGAGCTGTGGCTGGAAGAACATCTGCTGCGTAAAATATCTGCTGCAATAGTTGGTGGTTCATTCCACTGTGGTGACCCCTGATAATCAGTTACTAAGCTGAAGGAAAATGAATAAATGAATGATGACTTTAAAAAAATTATTATAACTTAATACATTTAATAATGCAATTATAATATTGATTTTATATAGTATCCTCAGCAGTAAATATACACTGTAAAATGCTGGGTTTCACACAATTCCTTCATGCTGCCCCAACACAAATAGATTAAGAGTGCTTTCACACTTAAGCGGGTCGCACACTGGATGTGCTGCATTTGAATTGTCACATGGATTGCATCATCAGATTCTGAGCTCCTATTGGTTCTTGGATTGACACTCATCGCAGATGTTGTCACACTGCAGGAAAGTGTCTAAAATCTTCTGACCCAACCAGAACTTCATCGGAAGAACAATCTGATTGCAAAGGGCACTAAGCGGCTGTCTGTGAACACGTCAAACCCACGATCGAAAACCACCAGTTTTAGCCAAGGATTTCAGGAATCTTTTGGAATTTCCCAAATTTGTCTCAGATGACAAAATCAAGTCTGAAATCCCACAGTGTGAGCAGGGCTTTAGTTAAGTTAATCAAACTTTTAAATTCCAAATTAAATAAATTTACAAATTTGTACAAATTTAAGCAGATTGAACATAGTTGTCCCCCCCTAAAAAACGTAACAATTGTGTTGTTTCAACTAATTTTAAATAAGTAAGTTTGAACAGGCAGCAAAAGTCATTTTTTGAGCGCGTGGAGAACTTTTAAACTAATGTTATTGTAAGGAAAATTATTAAACCATCTTGGTAAATAAGTAAAAAATGCTATTTTTAAATAAAAAGTTAATATTTTATTGAATGTATTTTTGGTGATTGTATTGGTTTTGGCCAGATTGGATAGGTATACATGACCAAAGGAAAATTATGACCTATCAAAAAACATTTAAGACCCACAACACAATATTTCTGTGGACTTTTTAAGGTCTACAATTTAGGTTTTGAGATTGTAAAACATTTTAAGACCCCACGTATATGTTTTTTTTTTTTTTGGCTAGAACTAAAGCAGATTTAAAATTATTTATATGCATTTTAAGGTCAATATTTTAGCCCCCTTAAGCAATATATTTTTATTGTCTACAGAACAAACCACTGTTATACAATGACTTGCCTAATAAACCCAGTTAAGCCATTAAATGTCACTTTAAGCAGAATACTAGCTAAAAAACAACAACAAAACAAAATAAAAAAAATATTAATCTTAAAAAATATCTAGCCAAATATGATGTGCTGTCATCATGTACAAGAAAATAAATCAGTTATTAGAAATGAGTTATTAAAACTATTATGATTAGAAATGGGTTGAGAAAAAATATTTTTATTAAACAGAAATTAAAGAAAAAATATAGAGAAGGTCTAATAATTCAACAGTATATTGAGTGCACTGAGAGCTCTGAGTGGATGTGGAATAGGTTACTGGAGTCCTTTAAAAAGCCTCAATAGCCGCAGACATTTGGTTTTCTTTACAACGCAATCAAGCAACAATTGTGCACCATATGCATCAATGATCAAAAGTCTCCAGGTCGCGTTATAAAACTACCTCAATCTGAGAGCAGCAGTTCAGCATTGAGGCATGAGGGATTTTTTGGGATATTATCCTTTGTGCATTGTATATTTGTGGCCGTTTTAAAGTTACAAAGTTTATATGAATGAAGTTATTGTTGTCCAATAGGAAATAGAAACATCTGAAAGGAGTTGTCAATAAATCCAGCATTACTTACTACACAGAATGGTCCTGAGACTATGGTCTTTATTAACTCCCTAAACAATAGATGTTTCCATGCAAAAATGCTAAATAATTTTTACGTGCAAAACTTGAATATTATTAAAGTATTACATTGAATACTTCTACTTGAATATTATATTGAAGCCACTGTGGGTGTTTTTTCTTATATAATAAATGACTTGACAGTTTTGACAGAAAAAAAAAACATCCCCATTGAGTCACCTGACCAATCAGAGCAGACTCAACTGGCTAATTAGAGCAGAGTACACATGTCAGGCCAATCAGAACAGGGTAGAGTCATCAGACCAGTCAGAGCAAACTCAACTGACCAATCAGAAAAAACTCAACTGACTAATCAGACTAGAGTGCAGATATCTGACCAATCAGAACAGGGTAGAAGCATCTGACCAATTAGAACAGACTTAACTAAACCATTAGAGCAGAGTACATATCTGACCAATCAGAACAGGGTAGAGGCATCTGACCAATCAGAACAGAGTGCACATACCTGACCAATCAAAACAGGGTAAAGTCATCTGACCAATTAGGGTAGACTTAACTAATCAATCAGATCAGAGTACACATATCTGACCAATCAGAACAGGGAAGAATCATCTGACCAATCAGAATAAACTCAACTGAACAATTAGAGCAGAATACACACCTGACTAATCAGAACAGGGAAGAGTCATCTGACCAATCAGAACAAACTCAACTGACTAATCAGACCAGAGTACACATCTCTGACCAATCAGAACAGTTAAAAGTCATCTGATCGATCAGAGCAAACTCAACTAAACAATTAGAGCAGAATACACATGTCTGACCAATCAGAACAGGGAAAAGTCATCTGACCAATCAGAGCAGACTCAACTGACCAATCAGATCAGAGTACACATGTCAGACCAATCAGAACAAGGTAGAGTCATATGACTAATCAGAGCAGACTCAACTGACTAATCAGATCAGAGTGCACTTATCTGACCAATCAAAACAGGGTAGAGTCATCTGACCAATCAGATTAAAGTACACATATCTGACTAATAAGAACAGACTCAACTGACCAATCAGAACAGAGTGCACATATATGACCAATCAGAAGAGGGTAGAGTCATTTGAGCAATCAGAACAGAGTGCACATATATGACCAATCAGAAGAGGGTAGAGTCATTTGAGCAATCAGAACAGGGTAGACTCAACTCATCAATCAGAGAAGAATACACAAGTCTGACCAATCAGAACAGGGTAGACTTAACTAATCAATCAGAGCAGAGTGCACATATCTGACCAATAAGACCAGAGTAGAGTCAACTGAAAAATCAGAGCAGACTTAACTGACCAATCAGAGAAGACTACACATATCTGACTAATTTAGAAAAGAGTAGACTTATTTAACCGATCAGAGCAGATCAGTCATCGGACACAATCAGACAATAGTCATCAGACCAATGAAAGCAGAGTACATTTATCTGACCAATCCGAGCAGACTGAACTGATCAATTAGAGCACACATGTCTGACCAATCAGAACAGAGTCGTCCGACCAGTAAGAGCTGACTCAAACTTCCAAATAAAGCAGAGCACACGTCTGATCAATCAGAACAGGAAGGTGTCATCTGACCAATCAGAGCAGACTTAACTGACCAATTAAAGCAGAGTACATGTCTGACCAATTCAAACTGAAAGGAGTCATTTGACCAATCAGAGCAAACTTAAATTACCAATTAGAGCAGAGTACATTTATCTGGCCAATCAGAGCAGACTTAACTGACCGATTAGAGCAGAGTACACTTGTCTGACAAATCAAAACAGGGTAGAGTTATCTGACCACTCAGAGCAGACTAAACTGTCCATTCAGAGCAGAGTACACATGTGTGACCAATCAAAAGAGGGAGGAGCCATCTGAGCAATCAGAGCAGACTCATGTGACCGATCAGAACAGGGTAGACTCAACTGACCAATCAGAGCAAAGTACACACGTCTGACCAATCAGAACAGGGTAGAGTCATCTGACCAATCAGAGCAGACTCAACTGACTAATTAGAAAAGAGTACACATATCTGACCAATCAGAAAAGAGCATACTTATCTGGCCAATCAGAACCGATCAGTCAATCAGACAATAGTCATCATACCAATGAAAGCAGAGTAGATTCACCTGACCAATCAGAGCATTGCAAAGTCATCTGACAAATAAGAGCAGAGTACATTTATCTGACCAATCAGAGCTAAGTACATTTATTTTACCAATCAGAGCAAGTAGGTACTGGTAAGGGTGGAGTTTATATGGACTGGATTCTTAAACCAACTGCTTCAGGCACTAACAGAGAAAAGAGCTGATGCTGCATTGGATATTAGGAGAAAATTCAAGTGTTTCTAAACTTAGATGTATGTCAGCTTATAGTAGAACACTTCTAAAACAAAGTAAGGAATCTAAGTTAGCATTTAAGTGGTCAAAAATGATTTTAGCATTACCTGAAGCCATTCTTGCAGGCTGTGCATCTGTCTGCATCTCTCAGGCATTTCAAACAGTTTTCATGACACTTCACACAACGCCTCTGACCTGAAAAGAAAAAAAAGTCACAGTATTTAACTTTCAATATTGAAGACAGACATGCAAGAGGATGTATAATGTATATTTCTGCAAGATTCACAAATGGCTGATTTATAATAATAATATTAATCATCTATGTGCAAAATAACTTACATTTGTGAGTGTCAGCCTAACATATATGTGCTAAAGTGCTATATAATAAAAATGTCGCGACTGACCAATCAGAATAGAATATTCCAGACAGCCATGTAATAACTGAAGTAAAAAAAAAGTATTCCACACTGCAACAGTTTCACATGGTGCCTGTTCTTTGGAGGAAAAAACAAACAGATTAAGGGCTCTATATAACGTTCAGGGTGCAGTCTAAATCATATAGCGCAAAAGCATTAAGGGTGTGTAAAATACACTTTTGCTATTTTAAGGATGTAAAAATACGCTCTGCGCCGTGGCGCATGGTCTAACAAGGTTGTGCTTATTCTCTTAATGAGTTTGTATTTTGAGCATAACGTGCATTAAACCAATCAGTCTCATCTCCCATTCACTTCAGTGCTGTGTTCCCACCAGACGCTGAAAAAGCATCAAGAGCGAGTAATTTACATGTTAAATCAATGCAAAGACGCAAATATACATCCTGCGGCACAATACGTGCGAATGGCGCAGCGCAAATGATGCGAATTGCGTCAATGGCGCAGCGCGAACTGAACGTTTTGTGCTACTGATGCGCGAATAGCTCGAATTCGAAAATCTGAACTTCAGTGGACATTCGAACCGCATTAACCAATCAGGAGCTTGCTCTTGTGGGGGCATGATTATGACATACCACCTGTTGTTGGTGTCCTGGGGGAAAATCCTCCTGCACACACCGACAACAGTTCATCAAACTGGGCTCGGCTCAGTCTGAGGCCGTACTCACAATATGTACAGTTGCCTCGAACCGGACCAAAGCACGCTTGTCCCCCCTCCCGTCTCCCCCAACGGCCCGCACTCACATTACATTCGGGCCTGGGTACGGTTACGTCATCGATGCAGCACTGTTCAGTAAGCGGTGTTCAGTAAGCGCTCTCACTCAGCACAGTGGAGATTTCTCTAGTTATATCGCTTTAGTCCTTAGGGATGCGGTGAAACGCAGTCAGATATTTCGCCAAACAGATCAGCCACTTTTGACGCTCATAAACAATCATAAAGCCCTCGTGCTGCAGGAATTAGGAGGTTTGCTGAAGGTGCAGCTGTCGTGCAGTGATGGGTTTGCGTCTTTAATAAACTACAACAGTTTGCGTTCATTGAACGGTAAGAATGATTAATAAATCCATATAAAACAGTCCCTTAAAAGTCACGTCTCGCTTTCAGTTTCAGTTTTCAGTTTCAGTTTCACTTTCAAAGCCCAAGTGAACCGCGTTCAGGCACACCTCTTCCAACCAGGGCAGGGCCGGCCAAGTGAACCATGCCTGAGCCCGATTCAGAACACTCACACTTCTCAAACGATCCAGGAAACGGGTCTGGGCACGGTACGCATAGTAAAGTGTGAATAGGCCCTGAAGCACCGCTAAATGCTTCCATCATCCAGATATAATTTCTGGTGGACTTGATGAACTCACTGAGCTGGCTGCACCTCTGAAAGGATCTAGTGGACTCCGACACGGCTCCAAACGAATCAATGCTGTTTTTCAGCCTTCGTAAAGCACGTAAACAGTTATTTTCTCAATAAAATCCATGTTAGTCATTTAGCAACAAATCTACAGTCATCGGGCAGACAGAAGCCCTGCCCATGACTTAAATCTGCGTCTATTTTGAAGTGAACTTGATGCACGAATTAAGGGGATTTTGACCTGCGAATGAAGCGAGTAAACTCAAAATGTTCACGAGTTTATTTACGCGCGAATAGCGTGATTTATCCGCGCGTTCCGCATCTGGTGTGAACACAGAATAAGAGTCAGTTGCGTTGCTCCATGACGCATTTGCCTTCACATGGCGGACTTTATAGGTGGAAAAACCGAACGCTTCATTAGCGAGAAAACAGTTAAACATAGCATCTGCAGCACGAGGATAAAGAACGAGCCTCCTCCGTTCGGCCTCTTTACTTTCTCTTTACTTTTTACTCCTTTACTTTCGTGGATCAGGAAACGGTGGAAACTCACTCAACTAAAGACATCTATTAGCCTACATATTTAATTTGGTTTGTTAAGCGTAAAGATTTGTTTCAAAACTATTTCTAAATTCAGTTCTAATTTCCAGCAAACGAATAATTGAACAATAATAGCGAAGTGTGGTTAAAAAAAAAGAGTTATATCCACACACGTCCTGTTCTTATGCCCCATATGATTATGCAGACATCTCCAAAACCCAACAGGTGGACAAATCCAAACTTGTTTTTATTAAAACAAATATAAATATGCATATAATAAATAACACTGCTAATAATAATAACATTATCTAAAAGCAGATTGTCATGAATAAACAAAAAAAAGCCCCCCGAGATGAAGGCATGGAGGCAGTGTTTTTATATTTATGCAAAAAATAATAATTTTTGTAACAATTTAATCCTTTAATACTTTTTTATATGTAAAGATATTTGTGTGTTGCTGTAAATTTTGTGTGTATTAAGCAATGTGTAAGGGTTTGGACCTGCATAGGTGCATAATTAAAGCGCTTTGAGCTGGACTTTAGAGCAGCTTGTAGTTGGTCAGTGGCACAGTGTATTTCAGTTTCTCAAAATAGCAACATGCCAACAATGCGCCTTAACACACCTCCATTCTAAACCAGCACACTCATGAGTGCACAAAGTGACATGCTTTTTAAACAACGTGGCGCAAAACGTTAAAATTACAGTTGTGCTCGTGTGAAAATAGCAACAAATCACGCCAAACATCTTGCGCCTTATTGCAACAGGGCATATGATAGGGCCTAAAAAGGCCGAGAGACAAATTTAGTCCTCAGAATTGAAGTGTTAACTCTAATTTCCACCGATCACCAGTAACTGAAACATCTAGATGCATCTTGATGCAATTCATACTCGGGTACAAGCAAATTTCACCCATTCCTGCTGCCACTAAACACATCTCTCATCAACATCTGCTCCACACACACACAAGCACATACACATACACAGAGATTCACATGTATTCAACAGCTGAGGCCAGCAAACAAACACAGATAAACCACGTCCAGTACGCTTTATGGTCCTCGTCCACATCACTGGCTGATGTGTGGAGATAACCAGAGCTCATCTGCATCACAGCATCTGTTATCAACAAGACGGAAACAACAAACCGGCAAATCCCACACACAGATCACAAATCCAGCACAATCATGCTTCAGTGCTGACTAATACACACACACACTACATACAGAAATAAACTACCTGACAAAAGTGTTGTCGCCTATCCAAGTTTTAGGAACAACAAATAATAACTTGACTTCTAGTTGATCATTTAGTATAAGAAGTGGCTTAAATGAAAGGCAAATGCCTCTAGATTATGCTTTTTTTTACTAAAATAAAATATGATCATGCCTTGATTTTTTATCATTTAATTAGGACAGTAAGCTCTGACTCTGCTTAGACAAAAGTCTTGTCACTTAACTGAAATAATGTCCAGTATAGAATATAAAGTCATGCTGCAGTGGAAACTGAATGAATATTGTGTCTGACTCCACCATGAGCTTGGAGGACTGCATCCATACATCTCTCCAATGACTCAAATCACTGATTAATAAAGTCATCTGGAATGGCAAAGAAAGCGTTCCTGCAGGACTCCCAGAGCTCATCAAGATTCTGTGGATTCATCTTGAATGCTACCGCCTCTATCTTACCCCAGACATGCTCAATAATGTTCATGTCTGGTGACTGGGCTGGCCAATCCTGGAGCACCTTGATGTTCTTTGCTTTTAGGAACTTTAATGATGAGGCTGAAGTATGAGAAGGAGCGCTATCCTGCTGGAGAATTTGCCCTCTCCTGTGGTTTGTAATGTAATGGGCAGCACAAATGTCTTGAGACCTCAGGCTGTTGATGTTGCCATCCACTCTGCAGATCTCTCACACGCCCCCATACTGAATGTAACCTCAAACCATGATTTTTCCTTCACCAAACTTGACTGATTTCTCAGAGAAGCTTGGGTCCATGCTGGTTCCAGTAGGTCTTCTGCAGTATTTGTGATGATTGGGATGCAGCTCAACAGATTATTCATCTGAAAAACCTACCTTCTGTCATTTTTCCAAATGATCAACTATAAGTCAAGTTATTATTTTCAACTGAGATGGATGACAAGACTTTTGTTAGGTAGTATATATATATATATATATACACATACACATATACACACACACACACACACACACACACACACTGTGTGACACAGTTAGTGTTTTAGAAGAAAATTTCAACCATGAATGACAATTCTAATGCCGTGTGTATTCCTCTGGATGCTGTTATAATCCTCAACGATGCTTTTTTTAAATGTAAAAGTAGTGTGGAACAATCCCAAGGGTTCTTTTTTATGCAACGGTTCTCAGATTTCACATCTGTTCAGCATTAAAATGGATGAAAAACTGTTTAATCTTAATTATTAGTGCATTTCAATGCTCTTTCGACCAACTTCAATGGCAAAATATTTGTTTTATCATATTAATACACATAATTATTAAAAGTATTATTGGATCGTCTAAAATGAATCACTAATGTTACTGTCATTAAAATCCTTGTGAAGTGTTTTGAAACGTAACCTCAACTGTATTGCAGTATTTATTAGTTTATCAGTTGTTACACTAGTGATACTTATGTTTATCTACTGCAATATTTCACATTTAATTATTGATGTGCAATTTTAACCAAAGAAATTATTAAATAAATGATTATTCATTCAAAAAAGCTGACTCAATTGAAGCAAGTGACTAACTGAAGAATCACTGAATCGCTGACTCCAATGATTCATTTAAAAAAGCTGACTCAATTGAAGCAAGAGACTAATAAAAGAATCACTGACTCCAATGATTCATTAACAAAGCTGACTCAATTATAGCAAGAGACTAATTAAAAAATTGCTGAATCGCAGACTCAAATGATTCATTCAAAAAATCTGATTCAATTGAAGCAAGAGACTAATGAAAGAATCACTAAGTCACTGACTCAAATGATTTGTTCAAAAATGTTGACTCAATTAAAGCAAGAGATTAATTAAAGAGTCACTGAATCACTGACTCCAATGATTCATTCAAAATAGCTGACTCAATTGAAGCAAGAGACTAATTAAAAAAAACCAACAAAAAAATATTCGGTGAATCGCGGACTTAAATGATTCATTAAAAAAGCTGAATCAATTGAAGCAAGAGACTAATTAAAGAATCACTGAATCGCTGCCTCAAATGATTCTTTCAAAAAAGCTGATTCAATTTAAACAAGAGACTAATTAAGGAATTGCTGACTCAAATGATTCATTCAAAAAAGCTGACTCAATTGAAGCAAGAGACTAATTAAAGAATCGTTGACTCAAATGATTCGTTTAGAAAAAGCTGATTCTAGTGAAGCGAGAGACTAATTAAAGAATCACTGACTCAAATGATTCATTCAAAAAAGCTGATTTAATTGAAGCAGGAGACTAATGAAAGAATCACTGAATCGCTGACTCAACTGATTCATTCAAAAGCAGATTCTTGCAAAGATTAAAGATATAGTTCATCCAAAATTGTTTCACCCATTTATTAATTACAGACTACAAGTTTGGAACAAGTAAAGGGTGAAAAATGATAATAGAATTAAACTTTTTGGGTAAACTGTAACTTTAAACATTGAAGTGAGACAAATGCCTGGGACTATATTTGCTGGCGAAGCAACTGTGATAATACAAAACAAATATGAAACACTTTGAGTGTGTGTGTGGGACTCACTGTCGTCGTGGAAGCTGCCGGTGGGACAGATCTCCACACATGTGTTCTCCTTGGAGTTGAAGTAAAATCCTCTGCGGCAGGACCTGCAGTCGCTCGTCCCGCGGCCGACACACTTCTCACAGCCGCGGCTGCAGCGGCGACACCTGCGCGCATCAGAGTCCTCAAAGAAGCCCAGCGGACAGTGACTCACACACGTCCTGCACACACACACACACACACACATGAATTTGTATTCCTGGTTTAAATGTTGTTAATAATATATTTCTGTGTTTACCTGCCGGTCTTGAGGTTTCCCAGACTGAAGTGAATACAGTTGAGACAGTGGTCAGCGTCCGGCCCGTCACAACCCTGATCTCCACACTCAGGATGACACTGACCTAAGCGCGCGCACACACACATAAATTCACAACATAAACCTGCCTCACACACACACACAACACTACACAACACACACATCTCCGGCAACACACATAATAATAATACATTTGTTAGGTCTCAGAAGGTGGTCTAGAGCAGGGGTCACCAAACTTGTTCCTGGAGGTGCGGTGTCCTGCAGATTTGAGCTCCAACCCTAATGAAACCCACCTGAACAAGCTAATCAAGGTCTTACTAGGTATATCTGAAACACTCAGGCAGGTGTGTTGAGGCAAGTTGGAGCTAAACCCTGCAGAGCATCAAGCCTCTAGGAATGAGATTGGTGACCCCTGGTTTAGAGGATCAGTTCTGGACAAAGTGGCTAGTTAAAGGGAACCTGTTATGCAAAAATCACTTTTATAAGGGGTTCAAACACAATTGTGTGGCATTGGTGTGTGAATATGACCAGCCTCTAATGGTAAAACTGAATTCATTCTATTTTTTATAATTACACAATAAAGAGAGTCTGCAGAAACACTTTGATTGACATTCTCTCTTTGTACGTGTCATCAGAGGGAGAAAGTCCCGCCCACCATCTCTTCATCTAATCATTAGCATAAACAGCCCTGAGTGAGAAGCAGTTGTTTGCTGTTAGAGTTTTCACAGCATACTATAAACCAGGGGTTCCCAAACTTTTCAGCCCGCGGCCTCTAAAATAAAATTGCCAGTGACTCACAATTCCTCAGAGGAGATTATTAGAGGTGTGAACCTACACTGGTCTCACGGTTCGGTTCGGTTACGATTATCATGCCTTCGATTCGGTTCAATTCGATATCTCGGTGCATCACCGTGCATTGACGATGCTTTTAAGTGTTTATAATAATTGTTTATATATATATATACACACACACGCACACACACACGCACGCGCGCACACACACACACACACACACACACACACACACACACACACACACACACACACACACACACACACACACACACACACACACACACACACACACACACACACACACACACACACACACACACACACACACACACACATATATATATAAACTTATAGCATATGATTAACAATTAAAAAGTACTGTTATATAAAATCCATACTACACTGTGTATTAAAATACTTTATATTTTAGGTATATATCATATATATATAAATAAAAAAATAAAAGCATTTTTTTCTTTCCCCTATTAAAG